TGATGGCGGCGTATGTCTTCAGGAGGTTCTGGTCGAACTTCCTTAGTTCGTTCATACCATTTAGAGAACACATTCGATGCTGATTCCACAAACGACTGCAGACGACCTATTCGGACAGAGTCGCTCGTCCGTCGCGGTGGTGATGGCCTCTGCCTGCAGGTCTGTCAAATAGGTGTAGTTCTTCTTCATGTCCTGGAGGATAATGTCCATCTGCTTGCGAACCCTTAGTATGTGTGGGTTGGACAATCGCTGCATGCATGGTCGCGAGCAAGGAGCCTAGGAGCAAGCTTCCCAACCCAACCCCAACCCAAGCCCAGCCCCCACCCAACCCCAGCCCTCCAGCACAAAATGCGACCTAGAATCGCCGCGGCTCGGCTGCTGTCGGGGTCCAACTTTTCCTGCACAGAACAGGAAAGGGGGGGTTATGTACAGATCGCGATATTATATAGATCGAAAAGACAAGAGCACATGGAAAGCGGGGTCCATCGCATCTTCGCACTGGTCGATTTTTCTTCCCAGCACCTCCACGAAGTTGCCAAGAATGGAGACCGCGGCAGTGTCGGGTGTCACCGCCGGAAACACGATCCTGGATGGAGTGTTCTTAGGGTTTGGGCTTAGGGCTTAGGGTCACGGCTTGGGGTTTTTATAGAGGGCTGTTCTTTTTTGTTTGAGCTCCTTGTTCCACGGCCCCACTTAGCCCACTAGGTTTAGGGTTTAGGGTTCGGGTTGGTTCATCTATTAATAAACAAGATCTATATTTCTAGCTTTAGGGCTTTGCTTTGCTTGGAGGTTAATCAAGGGTCTTGAAGGAGGCGGACTGGCCAAGAGCTGCTGCACTGTCCGCAGCTGAGGAAGCCTTGGTTCCCTCGGCGGCGATGACTTCATCGGAGGCCGAAAACTCGGGAATGTCGGAGTGCATAAGGAAGCCATCCTCGTCCTGTGTTGCATTCTGGAGCTCGAGTTTAAAACAGTCTATCACTAGGATTGTTCATGTTTCCTAACGGATCAGCTCCTCGGCTTCGAAGCTCCCAGACAGCTCTGTCGTCGTCCCAACCTCGTCTACGATCTCGAAAGACTCGTTCAAAACAAGCCTTGCTTCTTCTTCCCCATGCACCGGATTTACCCGGAGCAGTCCCTTGGACTTGGCCCAGGTGAAAGCATTGTCCACCATTTTCCTCAACAAGCGAATGATTTATGGAAGCATCCAACACACTCCGAGATCACACCTTAAACCCGAAAGATCTGATAAGAAACTTGCTCCACTGTGCCACATTGAGCAGGTATTGCCGGGTGTACCACCCGCCATTCTTGGATTTCCCCAGCAACGTCTTGTGGTGTTTTTTGACGTGAACTTCCACGGCCCCAAAGGAGCCGTGCTCCTTTAGGAGCTGCCGGAGCTTCTCTCCTGATACGGTAGACAGCAGAAACTCCAAAACACAAGCATGTTTTCAGAGCAGCAAAGCTAAACATATTCCAGCCGTGCTTCGTCCGCCTTCGGACTTGTACAGCTGGAGTGCCTGCTCCGAGCACTTCAAAGCCCCGCAAGCTCGGGGCGTGAAGTACCGCCGGAGCCTGATCGAGTATGTATGCATGTCAGCAGGAAAGACTCGACCACAGTACATACCATCACACCCGCAAACAGCCCAACTCAAATTTGAATCGAGTATCCGGAAGTATGTGGGGCTTTGGGCCCTCTTCGTCTTCTTGTGCGGGCTGGAGTGCTCGCTCAAGGCAACGGATGACCCAGAGCGGGCCTGATAGGAAGCAACATGTTGGACTCGGATAACCCTAGTTCTACATGACACTATATGGGACTTTAGG